GGAGCCGGAGCCGGGGCCGGGCGGTGGGCAGCGGACCCAGGCTGAGCCGGGGAGGAGCGGGAGGCGGGGCCCACCTGATAGCTGAGGACGCCGTCCGGCTCGTTGCTCCCGGCGGGCATGGCCGGGCGGAGCCTGGGCTCGCCGGTGGGTTCCAGGTTGAGCTGCAGCAGTCCGCGCCCCCTGGTCCTGGGTGAGCCGATCGCACACGCGGCGGCCCCCAACCCTGAAGCCAACGGTCAACCATCCACCGGCGCCGCCTTCATAGCCACCAGCCGGCGAGGCGCCCGCCGCAGCCAATCCAGAGAGCGGCCCGGGCAGCCAATCAGGGCGCGGAGCACGGGAGGACGCTGTCCGGCGGTACCCTGGGCTACCAGGAAGAGGGGAGGAGGGCGCCAGAGAGAGCCAACCCCTCCCAGGGCCGGTTGCCATGGAAACCGCCTCCCGCCGCCCTCCCGGGAGGTGGGGGTGTGGCGGGAGGGGGGAGTTCTCCGGGCTCAGAGGTCCTTCCAACCGCTTGCTAGGAACGAAAAATCACAACTGCCGCTGTTTGCAGTTGCACCTGACTCTTGGGCAAGTGTCGGGTTTGCCTCTCCTGATTTTATTCCTCGGAGGATGGGTTTCAAGTCAGGAGAAAATTTCCCTCAGAAACAAAGATGGCAGGAGGAAAGCAATGATGAGAAGAGAGGGACTCCTAAAATTACTTGTTTTTTTTTGTTTGTTTGTTTGTTTGTTTTTAATGATTTATTTATTTGCATTGGTGCATCTGTGTAAGGGTGTTGGATCCCCTGGAAGTGGAATTACAGACAGTTGTGAGCTGCCATGTGGGAATTGAACTCAGGACCTCTGGAAGAGCAGCCAGGGCTCTTAACCGTTAACCCTTGAGCTAGTGGCCAGATTGAAAGCGTTAAAGAGCAGCGGACGGGGAACAGTCAGGCCCCTCCACACACAGGCTATGAGGCAGGCTTCCCCTGCCTCTCAGATTGACAGCAGATGGTGGAGTCTGAGCTGAGGATGACTTCAACTTGTCAAAAAAAAAAATAATACTTCAAGACAAATTATTATCTAACAGCAGAACTAACAGATCTGAGGCAAGGTTGCAAATGATGAGTAATGCGTTCGATTTGATCTGGTTTTAAAAGAAAACAAAGTAGTTAATCATCCGCGGCTTAGGAGAAAGAAAGGGCATTTTGTCTTCTATGCACTATCACTTGAGACCGGAGGTGAGTCCACACTGTTGGGGAAAGGGGACCACTGCAGATCAGTCTCAGCCTCTGTCAAAACCGCAGAAGGAAACGTGACAAGCCAAAGTTCAACCCTATGGTGGTGCGGGCCTCTCCTCTAGCATTCAAGGGGCCAAGGCAGGCCAGCAGCAAGTTCAAGGCCAACCTGGACTTCATGGTGATATCCTATCTCAAAAAAAAAAAAAAATCAACTTCTGCATATCATTCTTCGTATTATCACCCAAACTGGAAACAAGACGGAGCCTAGATGTCCCTGAAAAGAAACTATAGTTCTGGAGCTGGGGAGAGGCTCTATCTAAGAAGTTCTTCTTTGGCCGGGCGGTGGTGGCGCACACCTTTAATCCCAGCACTCGGGAGGCAGAGACAGGTGGATCTCTGTGAGTTTGAGGCCAGCCTGGGCTACAGAGTGAGTTCCAGGAAAGGCTCCAAAGCTACACAGAGAAACCCTGTCTCAAAAAACAAAAAAAAAAAAAAGAAGAAGAAGAAGAAGAAGTAGAACTTCTTCTTTGTAAGTGTAAGGACCTGAGTCCAATGCCCAGAACCCAAAGAAAATCTGAGTCTGGAGGCAAAAGCTCGCATCTGCGTTGCTGGGGAAGGTAGAGAAAGCAAGGGCCTCTGGAGCTTGCTACCCAACCAGTCCAGACCGATCCATGATGAGCTCCAGATCTGGTGAGAGACTCTGTCCTAACAAACAAGGTGGAGAGGGCTGGAGAGATGCCTCAACAGTTAAGAGAAGCTGTTGCTCCCGTAGAGGACATGGGTTGGGTTCCCAGGGCCTCCATGGTGGCTCACAGCCATCCATAATGGCAGTTGCAGGGAATCTGCCCACTCTTCTGGTCTCCTCAGGCACAAGAAATGAATGTGGTACACAGACATACATGCATGCAGGCAGAACACTAATGCACATTAAAAATAATAAATGGAGAGCTATTGAGGAAGACATCTGACACAGACCACTGACCTCCAAATGTGTACTCACACATGAGTCAAACACACACACTCCTTAATTTTTGATGTTCTATAAAAAGCCCCTTGCCTAGTTTCTCATGCCATAATTGTTGTTTGTTTCAACTCTTTTGCTCTTTTGCCCCCCCACAAAACTCCCAAATAAATTACACACACACACACACACACACACACACACAGAGAGAGAGAGAGAGAGAGAGAGAGAGAGAGAGAGAGAGAGAGGCTTATTCTTAATTATGAATGTGAATGCCCGGCCTTAGCTTGGCTTGTTTCTTTCCAGCTTTCCTTAACTTAAATCATCTCATGTGTCTTTTGCCTCTGGGCTTTTCCTTTTCTATTCCTGTATACCTTTCTTGTTTCTTAATCTGTTGCTGACTGTGTAGCTGGGTAGCTGGACCCTGGAGTCCTCCTCCTTCTCTGGCTACTTCTTTTCCCCCAGATTTCTCCTTCATTTATCCTCTCAGCCTGCCAGCCCCGCCTATCCTTTCCCCTGCCTTGCTATTGGTCGTTCAGTTCTTTATTAGACTATCAGGTGTTTTACACAGGCAAAGTAACACAGCTTCACAGAGTTAAGCAAATGCAACATAAACAAAAGTAACACACTTTAAGCCAGACAGTCATGGTGCACAACTTTAATCCCAGCACTTGGGAGGCAGAGGCAGACGGATATCTGTGAGTTCAAGGCCAGCCTGGACTACAGAGTGAGTTCCAGGAAAGATGCAAAGCTACACAGAGAAACCCTGTCTCAAAAAACCAAAAAAAAAAGTAACACATTTTAAAATAATATTCCCCAACCCAAAATGATTTTTTTCCTCATGCCTCTGTACTCTGCATAGCCTTAAAGGATGCTAAGCACCTAAGCGATTGCAAATATATGTACATTTACTTCAATCTCCTTATAAATGTAATGAGGTCCAGTAGGTAAAGGCCGTTGTCACCAAGCCTCATTATCTGAGTTTGATCTGCAGAACCTACATGAAATAAAAAGAAAACCGATTCTTGGGAGCTGTCCTCAGGCCTCCACAGGCACAGCATGGCATGTGTGCGTGTGCACACATTTTATTGAGCCAAAATGAAGAGAGCAAGCAAGCACTCAAGTCTGGGGCGAGGATTTAAGAGTGGTAACGAATGCCGGGTAGCCACAATCGGGCCAACACGGAAAGTGACGTTGAAAAGAACAGGAGGAGCGAGTGTTGCCATTATAAAATGCTCTTGTCAGGCTGTGGGGGATGGATAATGAGTTCAGACTTCATTTCCCTTGTATAATAAAAATTAGGCTGCTAAAGGTTTTCGGGAGCCCTTCCATGGACCAGGACCTAATGATATAAAATGTGTCTGTCATTCCTGGCAGTAGCCATGACATCTCTCTTCTCTCTGTGTTCCACTGCCGAGAAAGCTGAGTCACAGAAAAACTAAACAATGTCTAGATCAGGCAGTCATTAGGCAGGGACTGGATCATCCTTTGTTGATTAAAATGGCCTTGCTGAGATCCCCTGTACCCAGCCCTGGGTGTCCGGAGCTGGGGAACCAGCAATGAGAAAAGCTGACACCCTTGGGACTTAGAATTTAGGGAGGAGACAGGAATTAAGTCAACAAGACTGTTGTAGGTTATGGCAGCCACCGTGAAGGAACTATGTGACAGAAGGAACCCGGTCACGTGACAGGGGACTGCCTCTTTGTGGAGCTGAGGACAGCCTAGTGAGACAGATGAGTCAAGGTGAGCCTGTCTGACCCTGGAGTTCCTGGACAGTGCACCGCACTGTCTTGAGAAAGCTGGCAGATGGATTACAGGGCAGCCCTGAAGCAGGACCTTCATTAGACGGCTCTGGCTGTGTCATAATTCAAGAGAGACCAAGGGTGGCAGCCAAAGGGAGGGTGTGGCTGAACGCCTCACCGCCCATGAGACAGGTCTCAGCCACAGTGAGAGAGGGCAGGGTAGGGCGAGGGGTGTGATTTCCAGGAGCCCTTTAGTTCAGATGTGGAGGCAGAGCCTCTGGCCCTTGACTTCAGGGTCAAGAGCCCCATCTTCTGGCCTCTTGTGAGAATTACAAAAGGAAAGTAGGCCAGAGCCAGAGCGGACGAGGCCGCTGCTAAGGGAACCGTGCAGACCCTCTCCTAAGGCTCATCTGTCTTCCCTTCCCAAGCTGGGCTGGCATGGTACCAGGCATCGGCCTTAGTGTAAGACTCACATCCCTACACTGGTGTAAAAAGTGCAAATGAGTGGCTGAGCCTGGCCAGCAAACGGGCCCTGGAGGAGCTGGAAAAAACACTCGACTAAGGAGCAGCACTAGCAGCCCCTTGTGGGGCCTGCAATTGGCCTGGAATGAGAATAAAGTAGACAGGAAAATGCCAGAACACACGTGCCGAGACAGAAGCCACACAGGCACGTCAAACTCACAGGACAGTCGACGTGGAGCCACTCGATGGAGTGACCTCATCTAACCCTTGCCACACCTCCTGAGGTAGATTCTGTCATCCCATTTCACAGATGAGAAACTGGAGCTTAGAGAAGTCAGCGGCCCCAGGCCACCCTGCCAGGACAGGAGGTGCACAGGGATGCTGGGGGCTGAGGTCAGGTGCGTCTGGTCCAGGAGAGAATCTGCTTACGCTCCTCCCAGGGGGCTCTCCTGTCTTGTACAGACCCCACCCTCTCTTTATGTCTTCTTGTCTCTGCTTCTCTCTCCTCTCACACTTTGGGAGAAAGAGGTGGATCTTAAAACTCCTGGATACAGGATACATCATTTAAGTCTCTTTCCGGGTGAGTACACAGAGCACACACATCTGCACACTGTGCACAGACCGAGCCGGGGGACAAGGATGGTTCTGAGAAACTCACTGGTGGGCAAGTCCATGACTGCAAACATTGTAAAGTACACTTCACACAGATGGAGTCTACCTACACAGACTAAGAGGACAACCACGTCACTCAGCCATACAGTCCCAAAGGATCACCATTGTTCACGTTCTGTCTCAACCAAAATGTCTTCGTGTGTGTGTGTGTGTGTGTGTGTGTGTGTGTGTGAGTGTGGATGCATGTGAGTATGTGAGTGTGGTGTATGCATGTGTGTGTGAATGT